GAGCCCCTGGTACCCACCCTGGGGCCACAGGAGCCCGCACTGAGGTGCCCAGCACTGTGGGGCCCCAGGGTCTTGATACCCCATACCCTGGTACCCCAATAGCCTGGCACCCCAGTACCCTGACATCCTGGTACCCCGACACCCGTGTATCCTGGTACCCCAGATGCAGGCTCCCGATTCCACTGGGCTGCAGCCCAGAGGGACGTCCCCCGGGCCACCCTGGCACCCGCTGCCCTGGCCCCAGGTAGCCTCGCCACGCGCCCTGCGACCAGGCTTCACCCTCGGCACTCGCCTGGCCTTTTTTAGTGCCTACCCGCTCACTCCTCACCACTTCCTTGGGAATGTCTATTAATATCGAGGAAGCAGCCCAGCTGCTGCCATCGCTCTGCCCTGCTTGCCCGTTGCACGCTGCTCCAGCACCCTGCACCCCACCGGTCAGACGAGCCCCCTGCCCTCCCCTGGGCAGGGTGCAGTGCATGCAGGGCTGGGCTTGTGCACTCCCCAGGTCTCACCTGGGAAATGAGGGTCCTGGCAAAACCATGAGCCAGAGGACCCCTGTGTGTCCCTGTCACTGGGAGCTTACGGGACAGGGATCCATCAACCTGACCCCACTGCATCCCTGAGGCCCAGAGCACCACAGGGCATGGGCCACTTGGCCAGTGCATTCCCAGAGCCACCAGCCCCTGGCAGCAGTGGCTGGCACAGACTGCAGGTGTGAGGGCTGAGCCTTCCAAGAGGCACCGGGCATAATTCCCGCTCCCCTGAAGCACGGAAAGACAGAGCCTTTTCCGGACCCAGGTGCCAATGGTGCTGGGGACTCTAAACTGCAGGGCTTATTTTCCAAAACCCTCCAGGGACTTTGTGTCCCAGGTCCCACGGGGGACCCTTTTCTCACCGGGGGCAGGGGGCTGCAGCATAGCTCTACCTAGGGCCCCCAGAGCAGAAAATGGGGGTGCAGGGAAGGGACGCTGCTCCAGGGAAGCCCAGGTTCATACTGAGAGCCTGTCCCAGACAGGGCTGCAGGTCTGGGGGACAGTGGGCAATGTTCTGTGCCCCCCGGGTGCAGGGGGGACCCTGACCCCCTTGCCTGGGTGATGCTGACAGATCCAGGGCTATTTTTAACCCCCTCATTGCTGAGTTTCCCTGGTCGGGAGGTGCTATGGGGGTGGGCAGAGCCGCCCTCCTGCCACAGCTCCAGTGTCCCTCCTGGAGGGCTTGAATTTCCATCCCAGCCTCAGCCCTACGTTAATCCCAGCCCTTGGCCAATAAAGCTTTGGCTAAATTAGGTAAAGGCGCCAGTTGCCAGTGAGCGGGGCCGGGTGCTGCCAGGGTGCTGATAGGCTGCGGGAGCTGAGGGGCAGCAGCCGGGGGCACAGCCCACAGAGCAGACGCTACAAATTGGGGTGCCAGGGGTACCACGGTGCTTCTGGGAGTTCCTGCTGCAGGAGCTGGTGATTCTCTGGGGCTGGGAAGCACAGTAAATTCCCACAATGGTAAGAGCCCCCGTGTGTTGTGTGCCTTGTGCTGCATGCCAGGATGAGACCTGATCGGGCAGGAGGCACCAGGCACTGCATGCTCCAGGTGATCTGGGCTGCGGAGGTGCCTCTGTGGAGGGCAGCGGGGAGAGAATCCCCAGGGCTGGGCTGACTGTGGCGGTGAGGGCAGGAAGGCATTGGGGAGGTGCAAGGTCCCCCCAGGACATGCCTGGGGGGCACCGTGTTTCTGGGGACTCAGCCTTGTCCGGAGCTCGGGGCCGTGCAGAGGTGGCAGTGGCAGGGGGTGGCTGAAAGCCGAGCGCTGGGTCATACGACACGGTGTCACCGCCGGCTCCACGGCCAGCCTGCGCCTCCAGCAGAAACTCGATCGGGGCTGACAGGTGCCACGGCTCCAGCTCCAGTCATCCCTACAAGGGGAGCTGAGGAGATTCCAAAAATAGCGTTGCATGCCTAGGATGCCAAGGCTGCTCCATGGCCCCTGCACCATGGAGCCCCCCACATGGTGGGGGGCCTGGGTAGGCGACTCCCTGCAGCCCCCCATGCTCATGGATGCCCAGGAGGCACTGTAACCGTAGGGATTGCTGAGGGCTATGGCTTGCCCCAGCACAGCATTGCTCTGCAGCAGGGCAAAGGCTCTCCCCACAGACCTGTGCTGTTGGGCCACACTGTGCAAGGGGTCTCTGGCCTGATGTGGGTGGCCATGATGACCCCTTCTCCTTTGTCTTGCAGACGGACCAGCAGGCAGAAGCCCGCGCCTTCCTCAGCGAGGAGATGATTGCGGGTGAGTGCAGGGGCAGTGGGGAGAGGGGCCAGACATGGCCATGGCTTGGGGTCCAGCTCTGCCCCACTGTCTGGCCCTGACCTCCCTCTCCACAGAGTTCAAAGCCGCCTTCGACATGTTTGATGCTGATGGCGGCGGAGATATCAGCACCAAGGAGTTGGGGACAGTGATGAGGATGCTGGGCCAGAACCCCACCAAAGAAGAGTTGGACGCCATCATCGAGGAGGTGGACGAGGATGGTGAGCAGCCCTTGGTGGCAGGTGACAGGGGTGAGCACTGGGCACTGGGTGGGCAGCCTGACCTGTGCTCAGCTTCCTCCCCGCAGGCAGCGGTACCATCGACTTTGAGGAGTTCTTGGTGATGATGGTGCGCCAGATGAAAGAGGATGCCAAGGGCAAGTCTGAGGAGGAGTTAGCCAACTGCTTCCGCATCTTCGACCGGTGAGTGGTGGGGGTGAAGTGGCCTGTCCTGCCTGCAGGGGTGAGCAAGGTCACATCCCACCCTCACCCTCCTTCAGGAATGCTGATGGGTTCATCGACATTGAGGAGCTGGGTGAGATCCTGAGGGCCACCGGGGAGCCTGTCACCGACGAGGACATAGAGGACATGATGAAGGACTCAGACAAGAACAACGACGGCCGCATTGACTTTGATGGTGAGCAGCAGCCCTGGCCGGGTGCCTGTGCTGTGCACCAGGGCAGGGCCGTGAGCTGAGGCTGCCCCTCTCTTGCAGAGTTCCTGAAGATGATGGAGGGTGTGCAGTAAGGGACCAGACATTCCTTGGGCCAGCTGCTGCACCCAGCCCCGCTCCCCCACTGCCCAGGGAGCAGCAGCTCCGCAGCACCTGGCCCCCAGCACTGGCTGAGACCCTGCTCTGTACCAGGGCCTCCGTCTCATCCCACTGCCGGCGGCTGAGCTTTTCCTCCCATCTGTCACCTGTGGCTTTGGTTTGAGCCTCAATAAAAGAGGAAAGGCTTGAATTGCTTGTGCAGGACTTCACTGGGGGTGCACGGGGAGGGGGCTGCGGCACTGTGCCCCTGCCCTGCTCCCCAGGGAGGGGAACATGCCTGGCGGGTGCCCTATGCCAGGCAAGTTCACATCGCAGCCCTGTGCTGGAGGGGCAGCACAGGGCTGTGGTTCCCACGGGCTCTTGGGCAGGTGCCAGCGCTGAGCTCAGAGTTTCCGTTCGGAGCAGCTGGTTCACACGCCAGCGGGTGAGGGAGCACAGCCCCGGCCCCAAGGGTCCTGCTCCAGGGCAGGGCTGTGGGACCACAGGGGTTCTAGGGAGCCACCACCACCTATCCCACTGGGACCCATATCTCCCACCCAGAGGACTGGCCTATAAGGTGGAGGGGCAGCAGCAGCCCCCTTCCTGTGAGGTCAAGATGACAGTGGAGTCTCTGTGTCTGGACAGGCTGTACCAGCCTGCTGGACAGCACAGCTCCCTGGGGACCAACCGGGGTGGAGCACAGCAGGGGTGGGATGAAGGGAACACAGTCCTCAGCTGGTGTGGGTGGGACC